GCCGTCGACGGATGGTGTGCAGACTACACGGACCAGCCGGGCCCATCGGACGAGAGACGATCGCGGGATTGCAGTCCTGATCGTGTTTTCCTACAGGCACGTCCCCCCCGGGGGTTTCTCTGCATTTCGACGTCTACACAGGGCGCCTCAACACACCTATGCTGGCTCGAAGTCGCGCCTTAACGCTTCTGATTATCATGGAATGAGCGTGTTCTACCGCTGCTGGCGGAAAACCGGGGGGGGTCACTACGGGTTCGAACCCCTCCCCCCCCCGTCCGGAAAACCAGGGGGGGTAATTACCGGTTCGAACCCCTCCCCCCCCCCCCAGTTCATCATGAAAGGGGGGGGGTCACTACCGGTTCGAACCCCCCCCCCCCTCGAAAACCTAGGGGGCGTGCGGACAGTGGTGGGGACGGTGGTGGTGGGGACAGTGGTGAGGGGACAGCGGGACAGTGGTGGGGACAGTGGGACAGTGGTGGGGACTGTAGTGGTGGGGACAGTGGTGAGGACAATGGTGGGAACAGTGGGGACAGTGGACAGTGGTGGGGACGGTGGTGGTGGGGACAGTGGTGTGGGGACAGTGGGAGGTGGAAACAGTGGGACAGTGGAGGGTACAGTGGTGGTGGGGACAGTGGTGAAGGCGGTGGCGAGGACGGCGGTGGGACAATGGGACAGAGGTACAGTGGGGACAGTGGTGGGGACAGTGGGGACAGTGGTGGGAACAGTGGGACAGCTCAGTGGGACAGCGGAGGAGTCAGTGGGACAGTGGGGACAGTGGGGATAGTCGGGCAGTGGTTGGGGCCGTGGAGAAAGTGGGGAGAGTGGAACCGTGGTGGGAACAGTGGTGGGGACAGTGGGGACAGTGCGACAGTGGTGGGAGCACTGGTGGGGACAGTAGGGACGGTGGTGGAACGAGTGGGGACAGTGGTGGTGAGGACAGTGGTGCTGGGAACAACAGTGGGGGATGTGGCGCGGACGGTGGTAGGGACCGGGAGTCGTTTGCTGGCGGTCAGTGGGGGGGGAGGGGTTCGAACCGGTAGTGACCCCCCCTCCGCTTTCGAGGGGGGGGGGGGGGTTCGAACCGGTAGTGACCCCCCCTGGTTTTCGAGGTGGGGGGGGGGGAGGGGAGGGGGGGGGGGGTTGGCGGGGGAGGGGAGGGGGGGATGGGGGGGGAACCCCGGGTTCCGGAGGAAGAGGGGGGCAATTTTCCACAGTAAAGCGGCGGTGGATCACGCTCTCTCTTATCATGTGGCCTTCGGCCCATCCCCCCACGGCGCCTTACTTTCTTGGAGGTCAGAGACCTCATGGATGCCTGTTCGGATCTTATGGGAGGCCTCTCTGAAGCCTTTTGGAGGCGGTGATGGTGTGTCTGGGGCTTCTCGGGGGTCTCTTCGGGGCCTTTTGTGCCTGATGTTGGCCTCTTCGGGGTATCCTGGAGCTTCTGGGGGAGTTCTTGTGGGGGGGGGGGGCGGTCTCGGAGGTCGTCTTGGGGCGGAGAGTGGATGGTTCGAAATGTCGGTTCGTCTTCCCCCTCTTGGGGGCTTTTTGGGTTGTCTTGGAGCGATCTTGGGTCGTCTTGGAGCGTCGGAAACCCGAAAGGGTGAGAATATTCAAATCCTTCAGACACCAGGGAAACAATGCTTTCCGCCTCTCGGGTGCCTCTCGCATTCCCCTTGGGACGTGTTGGGGGCAACCTGGGCCATCCAGGGGCCATATTGGGCGTGTTGGAGTGGTCTCCGGGCGATTCGGGGCGTTCTTCGGCCCTCTTAGGGGTCTCTCGGGGCCCTGCTGCCTCCGAAAACGTGATGCGGCGCGCGCCCGGAATTCTGGACTGTGTGTCCCCGAGACGATTCCTCAGGACTGAATGCAGGGGACTCGAAGGCCTCAGGCTCCTCGGGACTGGTTGGCCCAAAAGAGGGTCCAGCGAAAAGAGGGTGGCGCAATAGTTGCAACAGGTTTGAGGCGTGCAGTACATTCCCGTGCGCAAGTGTATTGTTCGGCTTTCGCTCTGGCGCAATACATTTGCAATACAATTGCCCCAACCCTACTGCACCACCCCCTTTCAGCTGGACCATCTGAGGTCAAGAAACAGTGGCGGATGTGAGATGTGCGACTCCTGACGTTGGCCGTGCTATTGATGGCTTCCCGCAGGACTAATTCTGCGTACCAGCGCTTCTCCGAGGGGCGCAAGATCTGGAACGATATCCTGGATATCTCTAGGGACATCGTGCTCAGCACGAGTTTGTACAAACGGCACGTTGGAAGAACTCGTATCAAGATAGTCCAAAAGGCCGTGCAGGCATTCCCACTGGCAATGCAGGACCGGGCTTATGCATGTCTCCTTTGGCCGCCCGCTCGTGCTTTTCTGGCATCTCATCACCTAGAGGGCCATGTGCGGCCGGGAGGGGGGAGGAGGACGGTAGAGTGAAGAAAATGGAGAGGGGCAGATTACATGGGAGGAGGTGGAGGAGGGATTGGTGCAACGGGGCGGATGACGAGC